CTTGTAGGACTCAATCTTCAGGAGAGGTGATGGGATGTTCGATCCACCTGCCGACATGTGCAATTATGATATTCTTTTCATACATAGTGGATTTTATGGTGACAGAGTTGTTATACAGAGTGGTTTTCAAGTTACATAGTTGTTATACAGAATGGTTAAAATGTTATATAGTTGTTATACAGAGTGGTTTTCATGTTTATATAGCTGTTAATACAGAGTGGTTTTCATGTTTATATAGAATGGTTTTTATATAAATTTATAGTGGTTTTCAACAATTTTATAAATTTATAGTGGTTTTCAACAATTTTATAAATTTATAGTGGTTTTCAACAATTTTATAGTGATTTTCAATAATTTTTGTACAGATTTTTATTTAACTGTATATACAGAGTGGTTTTTAAGTTGACATAGTTATTATAAAGAGTGGTTTTCAAGTTTACATAGTTGTTATACAGAGTATTTTTCATGTTATATAGTTGTTATAGTGGTTTTCATGTTTATAGAGTGGTTTTCATGTTTATATAGAGTAGTTTTTATTTAAAAAAACTGGAAAGAAAATAAAAAAAACCCATTTTTAAAAAACTTTGAAATTAAAAAAAAAACATGAAAAAACGAAAATAAAAGTAAAACCATTTTTAAAATTAAAATAAAAAACATGAAAAATATAAATAAGAAAAAAAATAATTTAAAATAAACAACCGAAAAAAAAATAATAATATAATTACAAAATTTTATTTTAAATGGAAATAAAGAAAACCATTAAACAAAATAAAAAAGAAAAGGGAAAAAAAACTGAATTAACGTGATGAGGGAAATAATTTTAGGAGAAGATTTGGGTGTAGATTATGGGTGTAATTTTTTTTTAATTAAATAATTATACTAATTAATAGTTAGTAGGGGCATATATGGTTTTTCAGACCCATTGGATTTATCTCAAATATCATTTATAAAAAAAGGATTTATCAAGAATTAAATTCCCAATGAAGGGTGTTTGGCATATTGCCCCTTTTTTTTAATTGGTATTTGCTATAAATCCAATTGATTCAAATTATCCAAAATGCCCCTATTTACTATTAGTCAAAGTTACCATATTATATTATTATGGAAAATCATTAAAAAAATTAAATATGCAAATCCCTTATTTCTCTCCACTATCTCACCCACCCCATATTCTCTCTCCCTATCTCACGCACCAAATTTAATTTTAGTTTTTTTCCAGATTTTTTTTGCTTTTTTTAATAGGTTTTTTTTATTTCAAAATTAAACCAAAACTTTGTTATTTTTTTATTTTTTATTTTTTATTTTATTTCAGTTTTTTTAAATCGTTCATATTTTATATAAAAAAAAATCACTACATAATAATCGAAAACCATTAAATTTATCGAAAGCCGCTATGAAAATAAAGTAAAAATTACTATAAAATAAGTATAATCCACCTTAATATTAATGTAATCCCACTATTAAATAAGTGTAACCCACTGTTAAATTAGTGTAATTCACTACATGTTCATCGAAAACCACTATTAAATTAGTGAAATAATCCACTTATTTTTTTGTCCACACGGGTTACAAAAATTAAAATCTACTATATACTCATCGGAAACTACTACAAATTTATCAAAAACCATTGTAAAATTACTGTAAAAAACGTAATCCACTTTACATTAACATAATCCACTATGTGAAAACCACTATGTATAAACAACAATATAAATATGAAAACCACTCTGTATAACAACTATGTAAACTTGAAAACCACTATATATAACAATTATGTCAACATAAAAACCACTCTGTATATACAGTTATATAAAAATATGTACAGTAATTATTGAAAAACCACTATAACTTTTGTACAGATTTTTATAGTGGTATATGTAAAATATTGAAAACCACTACAAAAATCTGTACATAATTATTGAAAACCACTATAAAAAATCCATACTTCTTTCGTCCATTAGATATCCATACTTCTTTCGTCCACCACCTCCAAATCTCCTCCGCCACCGCCCGCCGCCACCTCCGGCAAACACACACTAACACACGTTCAAGTAAACACACTCACACACCAACACATTAATAATATATAAAAATTATTGTATGGTTAAACATAAAATGAAAAAAAACAGGTTCACATAAATATAAATCATGATCGTCGATCCAAAGAAACGGCACTCATCCAATCCGTTAATCGCCAAATTCGGCTCCAACCACCAGTTGTTGTCAAATTTCAATAACAAGGGTCACTGTATCAATTTGAATAAGAAAAAAAATTAATTTATAAGAATTAATAGTCTTTTTCACAATATCTTTATCAAATAAGAACCTTCCCCACAAACCCTAAAACCATTGAAAAGATGATTGAAAGGAAAAAAAATTACCTTTTTTCTACAATCGCATAAAGAGAGATGAAATAAGGGGGGGGGGGGGGGGGGGTGGCTGGGGCGGCATCAGGTGGGGGGCTGGGCGGCGCCGGTGGGGGACTGGGGCGGCGCCGGTGAGGGGCTGGTGTGTCGCCGATGGGGGCTGGTGTGTCGTCGGGTGAAGGCTGGGGTTGGGGCTATTGGGAGAAAAGAAGGGTTGAACGGAAGGAGAGATGCAACGGTGAATAGAAGAAAAAAAAAAAAAGAGAAAATAAAATCTAGAGAGGAAAAAAAAAAGATTTGTGCAGCGGGATTTGTGGGTGTGATTGAGAACGTGATTTCAAGGAATTAAATTCTAAGATACGTTATAATAAGGTAAGGGTATAATTGTGATACTTAATTAACTTTTATTAATAAAAGATATTTTGGATTTATCTTAAAAATAGGAAATAAATTTGGGTTCATTGTAATTACACTTATGTGATGAGGGGGTTTTGGCAAATAATCCCTATAAAATTACGTAAGCTAATAAGAAAGAAAGGGACAAGAGGTCTGATAAATTTGCACTTGAAAATCATGCATGCGCATTAGTAACTTACTCACTTATGTTAGCAATGATCTTTGATATTACTTCACTAGCCAATTTTGTTAATTACAGTTAAAACCTTTCTTTCAAACCATTAATGAATTAATTAGACTACATAATTATCAACAACCACTGCCACTGTGCCACACCTAAAAGATTGTCATCATTATAAAACCATTATCATTATATTCAACTGCTAATCACTTCTAAACTCTCATAATAAAACTAATAATAAACCACTAATCCCGGTGAAAAGTGCCAAAGAATGATGATTTCTTCAATTCACGGCCTTGTTCCTATTTGACTTTTTTTTCGATTCTTTAATCGATCACTTATATATATTTAGCGTCTAATTAGCAACTTGAGTTGCAAGTAAAGATGTATTACGATCCCATCTTTGCGAAAAGTTTTAGTCGTTACGAACGTAGGAAATTCGGTTGTTGTGCACTCTTTTTATGCCTCGTTGTCGCATTGGCCATTTCCTCAACTTTCAGACATCATTTGAGCCCCCTCTCAGTCAGTAAGTCTATTAACTGTTTTGCTCTCGTTTTGTAATAATACTACATAATTTTCAAAAACTTCGCTCTTTGTTTGCAGTTGTTGATCCTGTTAATTTTCGGTTCTCGGTCAATTCTGTTCAAGATATGTTTGCAATTGATGCTACCACAGGTAAATTGATATATTAATTTGGATTAATATTTAAATATATTGTTTTTTTTTCAAATTCAAACATGAAAGAAATAAATTGTTTTTTCCCGAATTTGTAATAAATTAACATCAATTTCATTGTTTATTTCATTCCCCGTACCGGCTCTCAAGATAACTTGATTTTTTTTTTGTCCTTACAATAAATTGGTATTATACTTGTAAGAGAAGAAAGCATTTTAAATGGGGGATATGTGAATCCAAAATTGCTGATCTTAATTGGTTGCAGTACTTGGCAGCGATGTTGAATATTTGCCAATGTCGATTAGCAATGACCAAAACACGCTTCTCGGTAATGACACAAGCGCGATCTTCAAGCCAACAGGTATGGTGATGTACATGTATCGTATGCAATATGCAGTAAGTATGGTGACATGTGTTCATTGATATAACCGTACTAAAATTTTGGTAAAACGCCAAAATTTCATACAGTTTATCGCACCGAAATATGCGGTTCAGATGGCAAATAATCAAATTACCGAAATTTTATTAAAAATATTTAAGAATTTGAGTTTTTATTTATTTTTTATATACTGTAGTATACAAATAATATATTTTAGTATATATATATATATATATATATATTAATATTACATATATAAATAAAATAATAAATAAAAATAAAATTTTGGTATTTGGTGAAACAGAATTACCGGAATTTCGGCAACCGAAAAACCGAATATCGAACCGAATTACCTTTTCGGTATTAGACAAGTAAAGAATTTCCTGTTCAATTCGATTCAATCGGTTTACCGAGCTGATGAACACCGGTAGGCAAAATCCCATTAATTAATAGTTAAGTAGACATAGCAGTTTCACTTTAGACCTTTATGTATTATCAACTGTCATTTTAACCACACAAATTAAAAAAAATAACCAAAAAGAAATGACTTTTGGAACTATCGAAAAAAATATTATAATTTAGAAAAATTGCTGATCTAAATATCACGTCATATTAGTAGTATACACAAAATATTTAGGCTTTGACACGGTAAGACTTGAATTTAGAATTACCTATAGTAATTACTTATCTACTTGAATATATTTAATGTTTTTTTGATTTTATGTTAATATGTAAAGAAGTATATAGATATAGTTTATATGGGGGAATACGATGCTACACCCGGTGATTTTCACCGAGTGGCTCTTTTCTTGACATGTGTCCTTTTTTATTTATTTTATAATTATATTTCTAAAACTCATTGGGCCATAACTGAACCCGTAATGAGAATCTTATTAATTAGGGTGTCTGGTTATATTCACCAGGTGTAGCATAGAATTTCCCGTTTATATGTATGCATTTTTTAATATTAACTAATATTTATCTATAAATTACTAAAATTATTATAAAAAAATTCCATCTGAAATTAACAGAATTTTGCACTTGTATTGTCATTGAATGCAGCAATTAAGAGAGAGAAAATGGAGGCAATGTGCACAAGTTCAAATTATTGTGAGATTGAAGGGGATATAAGGATTGAAGCCAATTCCTCCACAATATATGTCCTAAAAAAGTACTATGTTGAAACCATGTCAAATAATAACAATTCAATCAATTCTTGGACCATAGAGCCTTATCCTAGAAAGGGCACTTCCCATGTCAAGAAATGGATAATCAAATTATCAGGACACAATTATATCCCAAAATGTACTCAAAATTACACCCATCCAGCAATCCTCTTTTCAATCGGAGGATTCACCGGAAACTACTTCCACGATTTCGCCGATCTCTTATTTCCGTTATACTCAACATCTTACCGTTTTCGAAAGGATGTCCATTTTCTCGCAAGTGATTACAAGCCGTGGTGGACTAGTAAATACAGACAAATTCTAGAAAACTTAACCGTGCACAACCAAATAGTAGACATCGACGGAGAAATCTCACAAGTCCATTGCTTCAATAACGTAGTCGTTGGCCTCAAATTCCACAAAGAACTCGCCCTCGACCCGTTATTGCCAAATTCTCCGATGGGCCCTTCGATGCACAATTTCCGACAACTCATTCGGCAAATTTACTCACTCGAAAGAGAAACGACAATCACATCAAGAAAAAGGGACAATTATTACAAGAAAAAGCGTGCCCGTCTCATAATCCTCTCTCGGAGAAAAACAAGAAGTATACTAAACGAAGGGAAAATATCGAGATTGGCAAGAAAGTTGGGGTACGAGGTTCTCTTGGCCGATGCAGGAGTTTCGACCAACATGTCGGAATTGGCGAGAACGGTGAATTCGTTCGATGTATTGATGGGAATACACGGTGCAGGGCTAACGAACATGGTTTTCTTACCGGACAATGCTGTCTTGATACAAGTCGTTCCGTTTGGACCCGTCGATGGATTTGCTAGGCGTGATTTCGAGAACCCTTGTCATGGTATGAATTTAAAGTACTTGGAATACAAAATAACAGTTGAAGAGAGCTCATTGAGCAAACAATACCCTAATGATCATCCAATTTTGAACGATCCGAATTCTTACAAAGAAAAGGGATGGGATGATATTTGGTCAATTTATTTGAATAAACAGAATGTTACTATTGATTTGCGTCGGCTCAAAGGCACATTGGTTAAGGCTCTAAAGCTCGTACGCCGTTGATTGGTTGACTCATATATGTCTTGGTCAACTGTCACATTATTTATGGCCATTATTTTGCAGTTTTTTTTTCATTGGTTCTCTCTGTTTTTCGGATTTCCATTCTGTATTTGTATCATTTGTATTAGGAAAATTGCATGAGTTACTTTAGGTTTAATTTGATCTATTTACGAAGTTGTTGTTCGATTGCCATTATTATCTCATATTAATTCGATATATTATAATTTAATAATATATTCGGTTGAGAAGATTGGATCTAACTCAAACCCGCTATAAATATTGAAATCGATAACTAAATGCTACGATTTAATATAATCTAAAGTTGCTCTATACCGTACGCTTAGTTTTCTAGGTACTAAAAACAAAATCAGTCACGATTTTATCCCAAAATTATTGAAATTGGGATATAATTATTGTTAATTAGGGACAATATTTAAAAGGGATTATTTGACAAACACTCCTCATATATATTGTCCTATTAAGAGAGGCCCAATTGTTTTTTTTTTTTTTTTCCTTCTTAAGATAAATCCAAAATATTCTTAAATTACCATAAATAATTTAATTTACTATAATACCCTTCACCTAACCCTATACAATCCACAATCTCAATCTTTTCCTTTTCTCCAGATTTCTCCCCTCTCTCATCTTCCAACAGGTAGCCGCTCTGCCCTCTCTTCCTCTCCATTATCGATCTCTTCCCCCAAATATCGGTTCCTTTGTCGAGGATGAGACCTCCCACTCCACCACCTTCCCCATCTTCACCGTTCTGATGGACCGCATTCGTCTGCCTTCTCGTCATCCACGACATCAGCCCCGCGGCTCATTCATCCTTTAGGGCGGTGATCTCCATCTTCCCAATGAGTGGAGAAAGAGGCGGCGATGTTTTGCGGTGGGTCGACGAGATGTATGGGTAATATGAAAAAAATGAAGAATTTGGATTCTTTCTTGTTATTTTTTTTAATTGTTCTTTTGGAGCCTTCAACCTTTAATTGAATAATTTGTTTTCTTCGATAATTGTGAATGTTCATATGAAACTTAGAATTATGTTCTTCAATTCTGAGTATAATTCTTTTATACAGAGTGGAAGTAAGAACGGAACATCCAAAAGTAAGGATTCAATTGGTGGAATTTAGAATATTGACCTCGTGGTTATAGAGAGCTAGAAACCAATATTATTAAGGTGAAAGTATTGACCCCGTGATTATTACGAATCAGAAACCAATACTATATCGCTAAGAATAATTCACAAGAATCCAATTCGAAAATATCCCGAAAAGTTGTTGAAGAACAGCGAAAGAGAATTTAAATTCCTCAAAATTAATGCATAAAATGTCCCGCCAATAACTACCCTAAAACAGCCTATTTATAAGATTCGTAGAGACCTAATCTAAGAAGAAAAACAACTCACAACTTATCTATAATAAGAAGATAGGCAAAAAAAACTAAATGTAGTTCAAATAGACTCCATAATTAATAAATTGTCTTTATTAAAATACAAAAATAAATAATAATCTTCTACTTCAAGTCATGTCTTCTCGGCTGGATGATTAGACGGGCTCTAGTTTATGAGCTCGGCTTGCCTTAGCGATCTGCTGGGTCTGTTCGCTCCAATTGAGATCGATTGGGACCAAACTATGACTTAACAATTCTTCATTTCCAAGCTTGTCGTTGATTAAGTTAAGCATGGTTGCTTCAATCCACTTGGCTCTAGCTCACATCAGCTGGTCCGAAAAGTTAACTCTTCCATCCAACTCGGCACTAGCTCTCAACCTAGATGGTTCGTATCATCCAATGCCTTTGGTTTCACCGATGCACTCGTCTAGTCTTGCCATCTCTTCACTTGTTAATCTTTTAGCATATGAGTGGCCTTGAAAGTTTTCAAAATTTGAGTGGTTGTGAGAACAACATACGACTCCTAGCATCCACCTAACTTCTTCATCATCCATGCCTGATTTTGTGCCCTTCAACTCAAACGAACACTGACATTTCTTTGAGTTTGTTTGCATTTTTCCTTTTTCTTCGTCATCTTGACCGGGTAGCCACGATACTCACCCGCACGCTCGCATACAAGTACCACGTACGCTCTTCTACGTTTTTATTCCATGTGTTTGAAGACTTCGCTATTATTACAATTGCTAGTTGCCTACCAATTTGGCGCACCCATATGACTAAACTGTCCCTTGTTGCAAACTCGTCATAGTTGGTGAATTCATTTCCATAATCCAAAGCTAGTTACATACTCACATTAATTCCACTAACGCGCTAGTACAATAATATGCAATAAAGACCGGGAATTTATTTAAAAAGTTGTAACACATACAAATTAGACAAACTAATGTCGATTTTTGTAAGAAAAAGACATCGTTGATTTTTTCACAATTTTTTAACACTCGGTAATCGATTTTTGTGAGAAAAAAATCGACACTCAATATGTCAATATTTGGTAGACAATATCGACACTCAATGAACAAAAATAGATATGTGCACGTCGAAATTTTGACTGCGTTTTTTTTTTTTTTTTTTTTTTTGGAAAAATGAGAAAAACGACCACCAAGCTTAAAAAAAATACAATATATTATACCTTATTGTGTTCTTCGACCCTATAATCCTCCATATTGATGTCATATGACTCCATAATATCCTCTTTTGCAAGCTTGGTGGGATTGAGGATATTGGGTTTTGAGGGTTTTTTAAGGAGTTGAAGGTATATATATATATATATATATATATATATATATATATATATATATATATATATATATTAAAAAATTTTGGTGTAATGGTGTTATGCAGGAGAGAGGAGTTTTGTTGGTGTGGTTTTGCACAAAGGAATTTGATATATTTGGTGCTTGTTTTTCTTTTTTCTTTTTTTTTTTTTTTTTTTTTTTAATTAAGGTCATAATAATCTTTTAATAAGAAAAATTAGTTAGTTTGTTTCTTAAGCAATTTGTGGGTTTCCAAATAGCTGCCGCCTTGATTATATTTTACAAACTCGAAAGAGGTAAAACACGGAATGCAAGTCGTTTTTTAAAAAATTAAAATTAAATCATAATATTACATATAATTTGGTAAAATGAGATGATTTGAGGGTGAATATATATATATATATATATATATATATATATATACTACATGAATAAAATATTTCTTACATGTCAAAACTTATATATATAATGACCATATCATCTCGTTTTGTATATAGTTTTCTATTTTATTATAGATATTGTCTTATAAAGTTTTGGATTTAGTTACTTTTAATAGATTTATGGTTAAAACGTATTAATTTTGATTTACTCTTGATATTTATTATTGATGTTATTCACGTTGGTTTAAATTTAAGATTTTATGTTTGGCTATTCATTTCAATTTCTAAATAGTTTAGCATAAAACTTATAAATTATTAAAAAAATAATATGAGTAAATTATGACGGGTTTTGACATGTGAAGGTTGGGTCCTACTATAAACCCGCCATGGATCCGTCTATTCTAAACCCTTCGAAAACCCACAAGTTGATTTCTTCAAATCAAGAACCGTTGGTTGATGGGACGAGGGTGGATTTTGCTAGACCCCGCGGGTTTATGACCCGCGCACACCCACTGCAAATGCACATCCTTGATTTACAATAAAATATAAATGATTTCGCCTAATGCAAACAGCAAACTGAAAAAAAATTCAGAATTTGCATTATTGAGTTGCAAATATAAAACTACCTATGACTTCGCCACGGGCCGTTGAGTTACCATGATTTACATTCCCCAGCAAATACTTGTCAGGCCAAGGGATGGGGGCCCTGGGGGTAAGAGATTTCGCCTTTTAGTACAAGCAAACTGAAGAAAAAATTCCAAAAAAGAGAAAACGATATATAACATGAAATTGCAAAATCCAAAATGAAAACAACTAAAGATAGAAAAGAACGACTTATCCCCTAGTTGTACATTTGAGAGAATGGAACAAAATAAAGACTAATGTGCAACATGAAATTGCAAATTGCAAACAACAAAAAGAAAAAAAATACTTAATCCCCATAGCACAATTAGTCAAAGCCCTCAACGAGGATGGTGGGGGCCGCTTGCCTTAGAACCAACATCAAGATTGGACGTAAATCTTCTGAATTGCCTTCCTTCATAACAATTGGGAGAAGAAGAAATTAAATAGAAATAACAAACAAGGTCTCCAAAATAACAAACGATTTTTCCAAACAAAGAACAAGAAACATGTCTCACAACCAAAAAGCAAAACGAAAAATATGTGGTTTGAGTTTGTTGAAGGTTCCAGCTATGGCAGAATTCAAAAGGAAAGAAAACAAACATTGGAATCGAGAAAGGGAAGAGAGAAAGAAATTGATCGGAATTTTTTTTCGAAAAGATGCTTCTCGGGAAAAGAAAACAGAAAAGAAGAAAGACACGCGATGGGGAGAGACGAGATAGAGAGGGAAAGAAAGATGAGAGATTAGATATAGGGGGAGAGAGACACGTGAGATTGTAGAGAGAGGGGGAGTGATATATGTGATATATTTTCTATTTAAATTAAGGGTGTTTATGTTTATGTACTATTTTTTTTTTTTTTTGATAAGAAGCCAATTTTATTATTAGGCAAATATAGCCAAGTTCAAGGGAAGGAGATAACCTTCATTACAATTAAGGTCAGTAGCTTTTGCAATGGCATTAGCCAAGCAGTTACCGGTACGTTTGACAAACGAGAAAATGCAGCATTGAAAAAGTGGTAAAACAGTAAGACAATCCTCAATAAAAATACCACAAGGAGCTGAAGTGGCCACACCTTCTTTAAGGGACTCCGTAATATGCAGACAATCGCTCTCAATAATGATTGACTGCCACCCAAGTTCAATCGCAAGACGCATTGCAAGAAGGGTTGCGTGAGCTTCCCCAACAGCTGGTGGCGGTCTCCCAGGATGCAACTCTCTTCTCCACCTAATGCACTTGCCATTATGGTCGCGAGCTACCATAGACGTCACGTAGTAATCTTGGTCCGGAGGGAAAGCGGCATCAACATTAATTTTGATGAGGTCCGGGAATGGGAGTTTCCACTTTGATGGGTGGTCCTCCCTTGCGGTCAAAGGCTGTTGGAATTGTGCATGGCTATATGCATCAAGGTACGACTTACTCCACCTGACGATTTCTTCAGAGTTCATCATTGGTTCATTGTGCAGATATTTATTCCG